ATCATAGAATATTGTATAATTTACCTATTGTATATAGAAGGTGAGATTCACAGCAAAACTGAACTTTAATATATTCTAGTCTATGCTCTATGGTATACAACAAATCTTTTTCTCAAACTTGTTAATGAATATACTATAAAAAGCTTTCCCTTTAAATCGAACTTAAGATTTCACGCACAAACTCGTTGTGTAAATTTCAACACAAATCGTTCTCATTCCCACATGCAGCAACAAAATATAAAAACATTCGCACCTTTTAACATCTAATTAGTCAAGTATAGAAATAACCTTTAACCATCGTCTCTCAATACACACAAGCGTTATTTTTATTCCGTTAAGGCTTCAACTACGAAATAATATGGAAATAACCAAAAACTTAAAAAGCATATGAATTTTATTCTTGTTAACTTATATGTAACTTTTTTTTTTTTTTTGGTATAGGGACCTTCCGGTTTTCGGATCCACAAGGAAACCGACTAATCCGGAATCGAGCCGGGTAGGACTACAAGGGCGGCAAAGCTCTCCCTCAAGAGTTTTTAACACTGTTGCATTCTCAGGGCTCGAACACGAGACCATTGGTTAAGCTGGAAGAGACTCAAGTCATCTCATCCAAGAGTATTTATATGTAACTTTTAACTATATTAATTATTAACCATTCCTATCAAGTAAAGAAATCCTATTTTCACAAGGTTGCCTAGACCGAATAGATTGAGCCCTAATATTCCTAATTAAATAATAAAATAAGCCAATGGAATGACGCCGCGTGTCCAAACCCAACCACAATAACAAAAAAACGCGGCCTATCGTCCCCACCTTGCACTTTCCAGTTCTCCAATTCACGCACAGATACATACACACGCCACTTTATCTATATAAACCCACAATCGAATCCCAATTTACAACAACTCTTTTTGCCGAAGCCATAAAAAACTCCATCAACCAATGGGAGGAACCAAAAAACCATCTCTCAACTGCTGCTGCTGCAACCCCTTCACCTGCTGCTGCGGCTGCCTCCTCGACTGCATCTGCACCTGCATCTGCCAGATCATCCTCACCATCCTCATTGTCGTCGCCATCGTCGCCTTCGTCCTCTGGCTCGTCTTCCGGCCCAACGCCGTCAA